TAAAAAACAATACACATCCATAGAAAAAAATAACTTAAAATATTTACAAAAAGACTATTTCATACAGTACAGGAATTGACATGAACCAAACCTATCTTAACAAAAGAAAGTAGGGGAAGGTCGGGACCCTTCGTACGGTTTTCACATTTTATTTTTTTATTATTTTATTTTTCCATGAATCAATCATCTGCAAGCTTAAATTTATAGTCTAACTATCTGAGATTCATATAAGAAAATGACAAATGATTTCATCTGATGGTTCAACCATAATTATGATTTAAACTAAATCTGGAAAACGTACGAATCTACCCCATCAACGGGGCACCTTCGTACAGTGTTGAGGGTACCTTCGTACGCTGTGGGGTAGTTCCGTACGTGCGATTAAAACGACACATATAAATCAAAATTCATTTATTAGCAATGAAATTAAACACAAAAATAAAGATTTAACTTCTAATAAACAAAAATAAAATACTTTAATTATAGTGAACAAAAATTACATAGCTTTTCTTAAGAAAACCAAAATTTAATTAGTTAGGTATCTTAAATTTAGAATCACATTCTTTAATCTTTGGTGCGGATTAGCACTTCTTATTTTCGGGTGTGGCAGTATAAATTCGTGGTTTTCCTGGCCGTCGTCATTTTGTTTGTTTTATTACTTCTTACAACATGCGTATAGAGTCGAAACCCTTAAGGTGTCAAAACTGACTTCGAAGGAACTACTATTTGATGGATTGGTAAATTATTCAAAGCATCTGGTTCACAGGCATCAAAATCAACCTTAATAAAGATAATAAAAATAGGTATTAATATACATCGACGATAGCAATGATAGCAACACAGGACAAAGTTAATGCAAATATTAGAGCAATTAGCACACTAACACAATCTTTCCTACCTACCAGAGGGTTTAGTCAAGATGCCTTATTATTATTTGTATGTAGCAAGTCGAAAACTTAATTTGTATGAAAACGACAGTTCGTGTCGACAAAATATTTTCATACAAATTTAGTTGTACAATTCGTTCAAATGTGCCCCATCTAGTGCTGTCCGAAAGTACCCCACTAACTGAATAACAACAAAATATAACTTATTTTAATATTAATAGGAAAACGTCATAAATTAAGTATTGGAGACGTATCTAAGTATATTTTGCTAGTTACTGATAGAATACTCTACACGAAAACTTATTTTATCTACGGTAACAAGAGACAAAAACATTGATCAAAAAATTACTTACCGAGCGCGAAAACACGTCCATGCCTGTAACTTCATTCTCATCGGTGCGAATTTCGCGAAACTTCGATTATGTATAGTTCGTACCTCGACTCATGCACACATACAAAAACAAGACTGTACTTTGTTTCGTTCAAGTTTTATTTCGACTGTATGAATGTGCCCCGCGTACGAAGGGTAACAATCTTCCCCTATATATTATCGTATGCGTACCTGGAACTTTTTCAATTCCTTATTTACCGTCAATGCTCTGCCTAGAGCCGTGCAGAGTTATTTTACATTCAAGAAGCAATTGACTACACTGTACCATAAAACGTTGATATTTTTATATAATATGTATTTTTATAGTGAAAAGTTTAGCGTAGTTTTGAGTTCGGTGTGGAATTAGTCTACATTATTTATAGAAACACTGCTTATAGCAGTAAGACCCATTTACACTTTTGTCTTCATTTATTTAATCTTATTTTTTCTTTTGTTTTGTGTTATTGTGATGTAAATAAAATGTTATTACTAGTGTTATTACTATTGACTTAAGAAACGCTTCATGTGCATATTTGGAACTAAACAAACACGAACACTAATTGAATACGTTTAGAAAACTACTCGTATAATTGTATCAAAAATCGACTCTCAAGCTGACAAAACCTCATATTATCGCATTGGCGTGTACTAAAACTTTGAAAAATTCGTAAACTTCGTACTAGGGACTCAGTTTTTAATTTTGGTATAGTCGCTTCTTGTGTAACGGTGTTTCATGGCCCCATCGCATCGCATTCAATTCAAGTTCACCTAATCGAATCGCTTCGTAATCGCCCTTACTTACAAAGGACGTACGTAAGCGATCCATTAAACTCATAATAGCTACAATGCCATTTAGATTGCACATATTTCAAGTAGAGAACCAAAGTTTAATAAAATAAGTTTCATTTCGATTCCTAGTAACATCGTGTGAGAACTTACGTTATTGTCAATATCCTTTTATTCAAATCTTGCGAGTGTTACTTGAAATCCAGAATTTGCATCTTATAGTTTACTTTCGTTCGTAAATTTGCTTTATTAAAAAATATATTTCATGTGTCTATCTTACATTGTCAATAAGACTAGAAATAAACAAAAGCAAATCTAAAGTCTCTCTTTTGGAAAGTTTTTTTTTGTTATTAGATATTAAAAGTGTTTCAGTTTCTGCACAATTATTTCTTTGTTTTCTTTTATTAAGGTTGCCTGAAATAATCAATCAATATTTCTTCATTTGCGTTCAAATCTTATATAAATTATTATTATGTGCAATAAAGTGAAAACCGTTTTAAAAGTCACGTAATGGAATAGAGTAGATTTTCCTTTTGTGCCTAACGACTGGGACTCGAACCCAAGATCCAAGTTATACGGTATATACAACCCATTTCTGAGTTTACCATTCCTGTTATTGCTTCTGTTGTATAACTCAGGACCTAGTCAAACATATTTTACTAAACCGTTTCAAAACATAGAACGTATATTTTAGTATTCAATATTATATACCTAATATATGTTTTAATAAAAGCTCACCGTATTTCCAGAGGATAAACATTCCACAATAAAGCTTGCTGGCTAAACTAAACTAGCCTTATTCGCATCTTCAATTTGCGAAACCAAAGAATTTCGTCGTCGTTCGTTTGGTTCAACGTGCTAAATATCTCAGTAACTGCTTGTTGGAATAGACAATAACTTTTGCTGTTGGATATTACATTTATATACGATATTATTTCTTTTATCTGCGTCAGCTTGAAGACTGGCGTTTTAATGCACTTTTTACACATAACCATTTAAAGACCGATGGCTCCAAGCATCGGTCTTTAAAAAAGGAGCATATCATCAGCCCGTTTGTCCCTTTCAGAAGAACGCGTTTAGGCCAAAACTCACAGATATCCAGATTGAGCAGTCCGATAAACTAGATAGGTCTGGTATCATTAGTTGCGTTCCCCTCACACTTTTATCTTCTTAACTCTAACTTTATTGTTAGAGCGGCGAACAAATTTAATGACTTAACGATTGACATTGATTTGTTCGCTGAGAGTGTGAGGACAGCAAGGATAGTTTTGACACAAAATTATTTAAACCATGATGAATGAAGTGCATTGATAACCTTTCATTGTCAACTAATTAAATTCTGTTTTTTCTTTTTTCTTTTACACTAAAAATATTTGGCATGTTTACCTTCTTGTTTTATGAAAAAAAAACTATATGTGAAGATTTGTAATTGGCCCACAATGTTATATATATATATATATATATAAATCTATTTATGTATTGTGCTGTGAATCTTCTGAATAAATAATAAAAAATCTTATTCTATTTATATAAATTTATTATGTATATACAGTGGAATCTCGATAACTCGATTCTCGTTAAATCAAAATCCTCAGTAAGTCGAAAAAAATTGCCATTCCCTTCCGCTGAATCCCGCGGTAAATAATAGAATATAAATACAGTCAAAACCGTTTATAACGACATCGTTTACAACGACCTATCGGTTATTACAACCAGATTGTATGGTCCCGTCCGAATCCCTAGTAAACTATTCAGTAAAGAAACCGCTTATAACAACATCGGATACAGCGACATATCGCTTACAACGACGAAAGTTTATCGATATTCATCGGATATAACGACCAACCGCTTCTTGTCTCAGTAAAACAAAACAATACAAACGATTTTAAATTTTATTTATAAGCATTGAATGAATATTTAGGCATATTATTACCTACGCACTTTCTCCCAACGAACAGTTTCAGCCAACAACGATTCCCGAGGCTCTTAACGCTGTAACGATTTTGCAAAAATTTGTTGCCTTTAACGAACAGTTTGATATTGGTGATACTCATACCTTGAAGAGTATGAAACGTAAAATGCAAAAAATATTTGAGACTGGGCTAAAAAAAAACAGACTGACTGATTACTTTTGTACCTAATTATTTCGTAATAAATATTTTTGTTTCTTTTTTGACTCGGTTACATATTATAATATTAACATACCATATTATAACCCATACCTACCTATTCTAGATCGATAACTATGTACATACATATGTACTGTACTTGTGTACATGACATTGCTTATAACGACTATCGGATATAACGTCGGCAACTATACGGTCCCTTCAATGTCGTTATAACCGGTTTTGACTGTACGCGGAATCTCGAATTATTTAGACTTTGTAATTAGAACAAAATATTATTTCCATACGAAGTATTAATAATACATATATATAATCTTTAACTCGAATTTCAAAACGGAGACTCCGTAAGTCGTAGTTAGTAAAATAAATGGAATTCTCCGAAATAAAATCCAAAATGAATGTTCGGGTTACGGGGCTTCTAATCAATTATTTTTGTCTTGCACACGTGCGATGAATGAATACATTCATTATTTTTTTGTATTCTTAATTAATACGTAATTCGTTTTAATATGTAAAAAATATATACTTCAAAACTTAAGTTGAATTGTTATTCAAATTGGATTCTAAAAATCGAAAAATACACATAGAAATTGTGCCTCTGTGAGCCGAAATTTCAACAGTCAAGTCATATTTATCTCGAAGTTCTTGTTAAGTCGAGTTATCGAGATTCCACTGTATATAACTTATATTCTTCTTATTAAATTTTATTTGTCTTATGTACTAATCAAAAATAAAGTACCAGATTCTTAAGGCCTAAATGTACAGGCCTGCGTTGCAAGTGCCTTAGTATATAGGCGGTTTGCACTTAAATGTCTAAAAGGATAATACTTACTTGTTGCTCATCCAATAGTAGATCAGAGGATTGAACATAGAGTTTGCCATGGCCAGCCAGTAGAAGGCCAGATATGTATGCTGTGCGAATGGCGCTGAGGCTAGAGACTGGTGGTGGTACACCAGAACGAAGTATGCGTGATATGGTAGCCAGCATAATGCGAATACCATCACCACTAACACGAACATGCGAACTACCTGTGTACAAATATTGAACAATATAAAATCATCCCTTATGTATTTATTAGGAAAGACATAAAAGAAATAATGGCCCTACATGCAATCTTGATTCCTGTATTGGTTCCTTTTTTTTCTACGTAATCTGTGCACACATGCCATTGATTTTTGGGTCACAGACATGACAGTTTCCTCAAGTTTTCTTTCTCCGTATGAGCGAGTCTTAAAAGCGCACGAAATAAAAGTCCATAGGTGCTAAGTCCGGGGTACGAACCTACGACCTACCTAACCTACGACACGGATGAGAATCGCTTAAGAATATAGGCAGAGGCACGTAAGTCTAGCGCTGGCCGATACGTGGAGGTGATTGCTGCGCATGTGTCGTATCGGTGCGGGGGACGGAATGCGACTGGAGAGCCAATCGACGCTCTTCATTCCGCTAGCCCCCCTCAGGTACCTTATTTTTTACTTCTGCGCAATAACGGTCAGCGCTAGAGTTTCGTGCCGCTACTTGTACGCCAGGGCAGGTCAAAGAACGATAGATTCAGAATAAAAAAAATGATTTACGGGTGAAAAGATGACAAAATATTTTCTATTAATTTTTAATTAAAACTAAATCAGTATACGAATCAAGTCTTTGGTACAACGAAATAATAAATTCAGTGATAGAGATGAATTAGTACGATAGGTCTGGGCCTCAGATTTCTGTATCTGTTTCATGATCATATGTCAATCTAATAGGTGTGCCTGACACACACCGTCGATTTTTTGGGTCTAAGGCAAGCCGGTTTCCTCACGATGTTTTCCTTCACCGTTCGAGCGAATGTTAAATGCGCACACAGGAAAGTCCATTGGTGTTGGGGTGGGGATCGAACCTACGACCTCAGGTATGAGTCGCACGCTGAATCCACTAGGCCAACACTGCTCTATTTATTTAATGGGGTAAAAGATCAACATTAACATTAATGTAATTCGAGGAGTCAAAAATGTACTGTACTATGCCTTATCATTTCATTCCTTTCACGATGAAATAACTAATATATTCACGTAACATATAAGATTTGAAGGGCAAGGAATTTTATTTCTGAACCAGTCGCCGTTTTTACTTACAAGTCTGATTGCTTTATCAAATATACGCGTTACACTGCTTTCATTTCTTGATAGATTTCCTGAAGAGCCTTGTCATAGTAGTACCACACAAATGTTATTGATTTACATATAAATCCACAAACAAAATGCTTCTAAGGTATGGCGTCATATAGGTGCTCCCTTCTGTGTTAATTGATTCACGGATCGTTAATTTCCTTAAAGTAATTTGAATTTGGAACTCATCCGGGCTTACAAAAGTTGAAGCTGTGCTTCCATTTAGACCGTGATTCGAAAATTAAATTAGCTAACCCTAGACATCCCTATACCGCCTTCAAAGAGTTTTTAGTTGTCTATTCGAACAATTAAATATTTTAAAAATGGAATTCATTTCAAACACATTCCATTTTCAAAAAGTATTTATTAACTTGTAACCATATTTATGTAAAAATTTAAAAATAGAACAAGAAATAACATAATTATTATTTTAAATACCGCAGATACCGTACAGAGATTGTAATTGAAGATTATGCTAAAATATTATGTGTACAAAGAGGGCTTTATTGCTACGCGTAATGTCTACAAGATAGCGTAGCGCCTCAGTGATTTACATCACACTCTCGCTTTTTTGTACTTGCAATCAGTCTCTCTCTGTCAAACACATTCAAATTTCGATTATTTCTTTATGACAAATGGTATGCGGAAAATGTCTACTTGATGCCGCCTCAATTGATGTTACCCACGGTGGCCATAGAGAAGGCTGATACACACAAAAGTGTAACTTAAATAATACAATCATGTTACTGTTCAACGTCAACCAAGACTTCAGGATTCATACATCATTAGTAGTCATTTTAATTTACGGAGGAGGTAGTCAGTACGCCCAAAGGCAATATCCAAATTAATTTTTGAATCAATAACTTATTCTCGAAGCTTGTTTTGATTTGTGCCAAAAATAATATTGTCCTTAACGAATTCCAAAACCATCATGTATGACAATTACTTTCAGTTAAAAAATATGCCTTGAATACAAAACAGCCGATTCTTGATAAATCTAATAAAACCCAAGTTATATGAATAACGTAACCGATGAAATAATTGAGATCGAAAGGTGCCACGTTCAACGCTCGAAATTTACTAGAAAATAGAATTAAAAAATTTAGCTTCTTTTCGCACTACAATTTACATTACAAGTATTTTTTTATATAATATATATTTATAATACTTGTAAGAACTAAACTATTATAAATACGGTATATGGCAACTTTTGCGCGGTTATTGAGTTATGAAAAGGTCATTTAGGGCGTCAAATGTTGGTAACTTGGTGCGTGACCCGAACCTTGAACTCTTGTTTGAACTTGACGCTGCCGGATCATAATGTTTATTAGCCATCGAATATCCTCACTAATAATCCAAAAAGGCTCACCAAAGAGTAATACTATTTTCTATCTAAAGTATAAAATTTCAAGTAATAAATTGAATTGTACACTCATAAAAATGAGCTCTAAGAAATGGTTTTTAAGTTATAACAGAATAAATGTTTTGAAATATTCCTTGAACAAAAAGTTTTATAAAACTTGATTAATTCAAAGAATAAAGAATTATGTATCACGGCTGAAAAATCTAACTAACCAAAAGAAAATAAGCGCCTTGCTCTGTAATTTCCATTAACGACATTCGACATTTTTGTTTTACAAAAAAATAAACAACAGAAAATCAATAACCAAGCTTAAAATATTTTTTATTATCTTTGAATAGCTAGACTAAATCTTTGAGATGCCAACTCTTCGGTCTTCAACTTTTTGTATGCAAGTCCGATGTAGCTCTCTCAATAACAGTTCGTAGAGTCATTATTGCTCAGAGGCTCAGAGTACTTGCAAATTCTACTTGCGACAGCGGTAAACTCATTATTAAATTCGGTATCCCGGTCGCCGTGGGCAGTTACAGATAAAGGACGCTGGTGTCGGTGTAAAAGGCCGGTAACGCACCCGCGAGCCCTCTGGCATTGAGGGTGTCCATGGGCACTAACATCAGGTGAGCCTTCCGCCCGTTTGCCCGTTTCTATATTTAAAAAAATCCGTGCTATGCTACTACTAAGAGTTTATAGTAGGTAATCTGACACGAATTATCCAATTAATTTTAATGTGAAATTTATAATATGTATATATAAATTTATCCCGATCCCAAATAATCTCACGGTGATATTAGATTTTGAGTTATAAAGGCTCTAAATATGACATACTGCAGCTCCTCTCATTTCTTCTTAGTCTAAGTACACGGTCGTAAGATTATTTGTTTTATAATGTCTAAGACGATTTCATAAGACGGATTGATTGTTCATTCGTGACAACTGGATGTATGCTAATCCATTCTTACAATGATTCTACCACATTCACCGTCCATTATTGATTTCCTGTTATCATTAAACAGCGTCTACGGTAGGCGTGTTTTAATGATAACAATGACATTAATCATTACATGTACTTTCCGACATTTGGAACAATATAACTAAAAGTCGTCTTTACATGTTATCGGATTCTTTTTGTAAAGAAGAAAGAAAGCCATATGCGCGCTAACCCACGCGTTGCAACTAAAATTGTAATAGGCACGTCATATTGCAGGCTGATGATGGGCCGCGGAATCCACACGTTTGAGGGACCTCCGAGGAAGAGAAATGTAACGTCACAAAAGCGATGGGCTTACGAGATAATAAAAAATTCTGGAGAGAAAGGATCCAAATGGAAAGTTCAGAAGGAGGCCTTTACCAAAATGAAGACCACATTATGGACAACACAACTGCTAGACACGAAGAAATGGAAATAACAAAGTAACCGAGGCTAGTTTGTGTGTGACTACCACCCACATGATATGTAGAAAGTTTGGAATTAAAACAATTTTTAATGAATAAAAACATCTTAACATCTTCTGAGACTTCAATATTAATACTTAGACTGCACGCGAGGCATATGTAGTATAAAATGTGTTTATTAATAGTAACAACTTCTTTATAAATATGGAGAAAGATTTATTTTGAAGTATTGTCAGGGTTCAAATCAAAGAATCCCAAATTGACATTTGGGTAAAGTATGAATCTAGTTTACATCAGTCTGCCAGTAATTTATGTAAATGTTATCATCGCTTAAACCAATCGTAATTAATTTCCATTAAAATAGTTATCAACAAACACAGATACACAAAATGATTTAATACTTTCTTCAGCTAAATTTAAGAAATAACGGGTATCTAAATATAAATCTTTTCTTATAACAGAAATGTTCGAAAAGTGTTAACTCCTTGAGCCGTCATTTGTAAAGGTTCAATGATATTGATTTTTATATATATATCGCGTCCTTTATGGATATTTGACTTCCAAACCTAATGGACTGTACAATATACATTGTTGTACTGTATATTGTTGTATGTATACTGAATTCTAATAAAAATACATTTGGGTTTTGTTTATAAATTATTTATCATTATAGAAACATTTCAACACCTCTCAAAGGTGAAATTACTTTCTATTAAATGAAATGTATAAAATGACTATTCGGTCTTCAAAATCCAGTACATTTTAATATGAGTTTGACTTTTAAATGCTTCTGTGGTGCTCTTTAACTTCCAATAGCAATTTACAGTGCCACATACTTTTCTTGGCTGGCGGCTGAAATGAGTACTACCGTCGTCATTTTGGTGCGTACAATAAATAATTCTACTATCTACGAACATCCAAGAAAAATCCAACTAAAACGTATTTATTTCTATTCCTTGCGTTATTAATTACAGTGGCAAAGTTTTAATTTGCCATTAAAATTAATTTTTGTTGTGATTGCTAAGTATCTTAAAAGATATTATATTAATAGTACAGGTAACAAAGCCTATCATATCAGTTGTTCCTAAGTTTGTGTCACATTTATTTAAGCCTAGAACTATATTTTCTAGATAGTATACATTATTTTATTAAGACATTTCAATTAATTATTAAGTTAGCCTGCATGACTTAAACATATTCCCCTTATAATGGTTAATTTTTATTTACTGGCAATACTAATATCCGTGACAGCGACGCTCTTACCGGCCATGAAAGTATGTTGGACTGTACCCCGCAATCCGCCGAGGTTGCGCCATTAACGGAAATCGAACATATCAAAATGTGTTATTAGAAGTTCTTCATATATCATTATACTCGAACGTAGATAAGCTTCCTTATCTTTTAAACACAATAAATTTTTGATCGAGTAGAAAACTAGTATTATATAATATGAAAATATGAAGAAACTGTAAATTGAAAGACCGCGCAAACAGTTGAATCAGCGAATGAAACAAAGCCTCATTATTCTAATTAACTTCGTATATACGGTTTTATGAAAGTTTTAGTCATGTTCCATTATTTTCAAAGACTAGAGACAAAAAATTCAATAGCTATTTTCACTGAAGTTATTCTATAAAGAAAATATACGGGTCGAAGTCTAATCCTACGGGCTTTACAAAGTCGATTAATAAATAGACATGTTAAACGATGTGTACCTTTCTCTTAGCTCTGACGACCTGCATCTGATGATGGGTACACTCTCCAATAGTCCTTCCCCGAAGGACGGCACTCATCCTAGCGTAGGCCCATACCATCACCGACATTGGCAGCACATAGGTCACTCCCAGAAACACCAGGTTATAACTGCAAGTACAACATACAACGAAATTAAGAAAAAATAAAGAAATAAATAAATAAATAAATTTAAAAATGGTTGCTTGGCGGAGTCCCCTCGTGAGTTGTGCTGCGATCTTGCGGGCTACTCGATTGTGAGGAAGTTGCATGGATCTCGTTAGCGGAGTTATATTCTTTCTATATATCTGATAATTATCATAAGTATGTATCTGATTGTCCTCATTTTAACATGTTTTTGAGAGAAAAAATAAAAAAACTAACAATGCTTCTCCAGGCTGGTCATGGTGGTCTATCTCTATTTTGACAGACACAATGCAGATGTTAGCGTACAGACAAGTGCATTCTCTATTCCATACTACGATATTCGGATAAATACCAGAGCATGCGCCTGATAGCTTTGCGAGCTCCAACCGCCAAGTTCTAAAGATACCATTGGCATTTTTATTCATCTGGGAATTGAACCAGATGACAGTTGCAGTTTTACATTGCTTGTTAGGGTCCTTGTCCATTATTAAATGCCCTTAATAAAAGTAGACGTGGAACAAACACTATATAGTAATTGAAATGATGTAAAAAAAAATTTCAAATTTTGGCTCCAAATATTAAAATAGTTAACAGGAATTCCCTTTACCTTTTAGGTTCTCCAATTTTTAATGAATCTATTTCTGATTATATTCATACTTCAATTACTAAATTTCAAAATTCTGCTGACCGTCTCCTTGAAATTAGTCCACATTATGCACTTTGCATCTTAAAATTCTGTCTTTTCCTCCCAAAATTTACGTATGTGCTCCGTTGCTGCTCCTTTTGGAATCACCCAGATATTTTAACACCATTAGACGACTTAATCAAAATTAGCTTAGAATCACTTCTTAATATGCAGCTGAACGAGAAATCTTGGACCCAAGCTTCCCTACCCATCCGTTATGGTGGTTTAGGGATTCGCAAAATTTCCAGTGTCGCTTTACCAGCCTTTCTATCTTCTGTCCATAGTTCAGCAAATCTCATAAGTAAAATTTTAAGGGCATCCCCTTCAAACTTTGAGATTGCTGGCTTGGAAGAAGCTAGAAACGCTTTCTTGATTGCATGCCCAGGTCAAAATTTTCCATTATCTCTAAATTCACAGAGGAGCTGGGATGACATACACTGCAAGTTGACTTTTGACGATCTTTTGAGTCGTAGTACGGGTTCGGCGCGTGCTAGGCTTTTTGGCCGTGGGCACGCATGAGGCCGGCTACTGGCTTCACGCTTACCCATCGTCAAATACAGGAACTTTTCTTGAGCCTGACACGCTTCGAATCGCAACCTGTCTACGGCTTGGGGTTCCGGTCTGCGCTCCTCATATATGTCCCTGTGGCAGTGATGTCGACAAGTTAGGACATCACGGCCTGTCATGCCAAAAAAGTGCAGGCCGCTTCTCGAGACATGCCGCACTTAACGATATCATACGCCGTTCCCTTGCCACCGTCAACGTGCCAAGTCTTCTTGAGCCAAGTGGTATTGCAAGAGACGATGGCAAGAGACCGGACGGTATGAGTTTGATTCCATGGAAGATGGGTCGGGTACTGGTATGGGATGCAACCTGTTCAGACACGCTGGCCCCTTCCCATCTACATGGAACCAACTACAGAGCTGGTGCGGCTTGTGAAGCGGCTGAAAAAAATAAAGCAGGCAAATACAGGGGTCTGGGCTCTGAATATGATTTTGTCCCATTCGGTGTCGAGACCCTTGGTCCGTGGGGTCCTAGCGCTTTAAGGCTTTTTAAAGAAATTTCAAAAAGGTTAGTCGACATCACAGGAGACCGAAGATCTGGCAGCTACCTCGGACAAAGAATTAGTCTAGCAATTCAAAGGGGGAACGCTGCCAGTATCTTCGGAACCTTGCCTAAAGGGACTCCTTTTAATGATATATTTTAGTTTATGTTAAGTTTCGTTATTTATTTCAATGTATATTATTTTATTATTATTAGTTTATGTTTATAAGTTTAATTTTATTAATATTGTTACCATTACATTAAATTATAATAAAAATTTAAATTAAATTTAAGGGGGAGGAACTGTTTTATAGACGAAAAAATCATTAAAATTATTTATTTCTTATAACTATTGTTCTTTAAAATCTATCATAAAGATTCTATTCGTAATTAAACATTTTCCTGTCATCTACAAACACTATATAGTAATTGAAATGGCGATATGGATGGATCTAAGTGTTTTAATGTAATTTACCTACCTCTTTTAAGAATGCCATTAGAAAGTATAGACCAGTGCCGATAATTTTTGAAACCTAAAAAAATAATAGTAGGATGAAACCTATTGGAAAAGGAGGAGAATATTATAAAAATTAAAGGAAAAATAATTTACGGGCGATCTGAGGTCGGGATGTTTTTTCGATATTAATTCAAAATAATTTGAAAAAATAAATATTTTTAATCAAATAAATTACAGCGTATTTGGGACATAGAAAGGTAAGTTTTCACCAAATTTCGTTAAAAAAAAAATTTTGTAAAAGATAAAAATTAAAAACCAAAAACTTGGTTTTTTGAATTTTTCACATAAATTTTGAGGTTATGTGAAAAATATGTAAGTACAAAAGTTTTAGATCTTTATATTACCTACAACTTTGCCATTTGACTTTTTTCCATAGGACTTTTAGTTTTGCCGGAAATCGAGATAAACCGTTTTTTACCCTTAAAACTCCTGAATTTCCAATTATATCTGTACACAGCATTTTAGTGGAATCTTCAGTGCTGGTTTACCAAATATTAACAATTAAATACAGTTTATAATATGTACATATATTAAACTTAATGACAAATAAAAATAGAAAAATTTAATGACAAAAAAGAAAATTAAGTTATTCTGGTTGCAAGTCTGCACCGCGAATAATCTTTCTAAATTCATAACTACTATTGTGAAAAATATCAACATGAGAACACATAGAATTATAATACTTGCACATTCTATTGAGCGGACCATTCTGGGATACATTATTGTTACTTGTGGGTATCATAAATAGTTGCGGCTTACGCACAGAACGCGTCGGTACCTTGATGTCAAGTTCATCCAAAAGATAGCTGTCAAGTGAGCCATTTGCTATTTTATGCAAAATGCACAGGTCGCTCATCCATCTTCTCTTTTCAAGACTTACAATCTGAAAGTGGGCAAGACGCTGGTCATATTGCTTTAATTTGCGCCTAAGACCATACTTTGAGCATAAAGCTCTAACAAACCGCCTTTGTATAGATTCTAATCTATCTGTATGAACTTTGTATATCCTATGAGTTGAGTACTGTTTAGCTGTATGGGCCCCCCATACAGCTAAACAGTACTCAACCATGGTTCTCACGAGAGAGCTGTATAAGACAATCAAGGAGTCGGCTCGCCTGAACGGTTTAGCGGTTCTAAGAATAAAGGACAACATCCGGTTAGCTCTACTACAGATATGATCATAATGAGGTCTAAATGACATAACAAAGTCAAATATTACTCCCAAGTCTCGAACCACCTCAACACTATCCACAAGAATACCCTTAACATTATAGTTATACTGGATAGGGTTCCTACTTTTTGTAAATGTTATAACCTGGCACTTCTTAATATTCAGAGCCATAGAGTTTTCATCGCACCAAGCAGATATAGTATTAATATCCGATTGAAGGGTCACACAATCTCTTTCATCAGATATACGTCTGAAGACTTTTATGTCGTCTGCATATTATGCCAAACATTCACTACTAATTTTGCTTAGCAAGTCATTCACAAATAACAAAAACAATAAAGGACCCAACTTTGACCCCTGGGGCACGCAATATATATAGATTATCGATAGATTATCGAAAATCACGATGAGCTCAGTATGTCATAATACAATACATTTTTTACCTACGGGAAACCTTGGTTTCTGATTTTTTTATAGGCACGAACGCAGGAGACTAGCGGGTCTGTTGCCGACCTGTCGGGAATGGTACATTATTTTCTTGAATCCCTTAGACCCAAAACTCGACGACACCCATCAGATACAGAAAGAATCTGATATTTTATCTTTATAGGCAAGTAGATGTTCACACTGTCTGAGACACGAAGATTTTAGTTTCCATGCCCTTTATCGTATGAGCAATCTGAAGTAACGCACTTTAAACGGCGCATAACCTCAATGAAGGAAGTCCCGCGTGGCTAGTCCTTCGTAGCTGTAACCTAATGCTATTATGTAAACCGTGCTACTATTAAGCACAATACAGAAGATTTAATTCCCATCAGGATCTCCCGTAAAACCACTACAAACAAGGTACAAACTTTAATGAAATTGCAGTATTTGCATATTGTGATAAGCCAAGGTAGTTTCTCAAAGTGGTCTCAACCTTATTCCGAGGTAATTTTGTCGACTAAAATTAGTAACTCTTTGCAATTAATATAAAATAATATCAAATATTTTTTCGTTTATGCTAATTAAATTTCAAGTTTGTCACCATGGTGTTACTTTCTTTAGTCTACGTTTTAAAAATTCAAAATGTGTAATTTATTCATTTAGGTAACACAATGTACACTTATGAACGTCAATAAAGAAATACATATTAATTGCTTCTTTTTACATTTACTGCCAGTTCTCAAATCAAGGGCGTAGAACGGACGAGAAGAACTGGCAATGAACTCTCCGCCACTGTTTTTAATCGCCAAGTTTTTTGTTTTGCAATTGTTTGTAAGGAGCTGCAACCAGTACACCATGTTCCACTACATACTATAATAGTATACAGTATATTATGTTATAAAGTACCTTTACACATGAAACATAAAAAGTATTTATAATATAGAAATACATCAAAGTCAAATACTACTTCGCAATAACAGGTAATCTTACTTCGTTATTCAACTCTTTATATGATTTATAAATGGACTACTAAAGGTTCGACCCACACATTCGGTGAGTAATGGTTTATAGGGGCTTAATATAAAATGACTTCAATAAACACGTCGCTTAGATTTTAGAAGGGTTTGAATTGATAATTTAGTTTAGTAACGGGTCAGATTTAGGCCGTAATTTTATCGTGTGTCAATAAATTAGTGTTTCCCTAAACTAAGGCAAGCCGGTTTCCTCACGATGTTTTCCTTCACCGTTCGAGCGAATGTTAAATGCGCACATAGAAAGAACGTCCATTAAAATTAAAGTCCACATAAATTACTGATTCCCTAAACTAAGTCAAATGATGTAGTACTAACTGTACGTTTTCTTAAATAAAAATAAATAAATCAGTGGCGCTACAACCTTTTTAGGTCTGGGCCACAGATTTCTGAATCTGTTTCATGATCATTTGCCTTATAGGCAAGTAGGTGATCAGCCTCCTGTGCCTGACACACGCCGTCGACTTTTTGGGTCTAAGGCAAGCCGGTTTCCTCATGATGATTTCCTTCACCGTTCGAGCGAATGTTAAATGCGCACATAGAATGAAAGTCCATAGGTGCACAGCCGGGGATCGATCCTACGACCTCAGGTATGAGAGTAGCTCGCTGAA